TGAGTGTTTTTTTTTTTTTTTTTTTTTTTTGCTATAGGGTGCGTGTGCTTGCCAGACAGACAGAGAGATAGAAAGCGAGAAGTCACCCCCCCAGGGGGGATGGCCATGCCGCAGTCTCTTCTCCTCCATTCTCCTCTCTGGATCTTGGGCACGCATGCACACGTGCCCAGCGTGAGTTTAAGCCACCGGGTCCAGGACTCAAACCGTGGTTGGCTACATGGGAGTCCAGTGACATAGCCATTACGCTAACTGCTGGTCCCTGACACTGCACCATCTTATATGAGAACTTGAGCGTTCCTGGATTTTGGTTTCCACAGGGAGGAAGTCCTGGACCAAATACATGTTATTTAAAAATGTATCATTTACTATTTTAAGAAAAATGATACGGACTTTCTAGAAAGATTAAGAAATAAAATTAGGTTTTTCATATGCTTTTTTACTTATGTAAGTAGTATACATTTTTTAGCATGGTATCACACAATGATGTGTACTGAAGAACTGTTTCTGGGTGCTCTTAAAAAATATTTATAAATTAAAGATTTTACTGTCTACCTAGCTCTTAATGGTTAAGTAAGGAGTAAAGAAGTTATGAAGCACTTTAATTTCTCTGTGGTAGTGTTGGTGTCTATAAAAGCTAATGTAATTGTTAGTTTAAATGAACTAAAAACCTGATGAACTTGTTTTGGTTAATACCAAAAAAAGACCATCTAGGATCTTTCATTCAAGGAAAAAACAAAATTCTGAGATGGTATGGTGCTATGAATAGAAAGTTTTAAAATTTAGTTGAGAAGAACATGCTTATTGAGTCTATTTTCTATTCCATCATCAAAACACAAATTAGCTGGAAAATGGATTCATTTGTTCCCATTTTTTGAGTGTGGTTAGTAGAAGGAATCCTTGTATGAAAGAGGACAGCTGTGATATGCAGACCAGCTAAGAGCAAAACTATGGTTAAAGACATCAGAGAAATAGCATAGAAATAGTGAAAGAGTCCTTGAGTAGTCAGTTTGTGTCTTCACTAATTATTGGTGAATGTTTAAAATCATGATTGTAGCAAGTCTTCAATCATGACATGAAATGTTCATGTCTCTGTGAAAGATAATTCAACAATTTAGAAAAAAATTATGCTTTTATATGCCTTCATGGAAAATAAAAAAATATTATTGATATATTTTGCATATACTTTATGCCAAAAGAGTAAGTGTAGCTATATAAAAAACATGAATTATAACTGTTAAAAAATGAAGAAATCAGATGTTTTAGAAATAGAGGCATGAGAGATATGAAAAACCATATATAATATTGCTCAATAATTAAAGTTTTGAGAACCAGCAGAAAAGTTACAAATTCAGTAATAATACTTTTGGAATGTGTGTCAGTTACACCTTTAAGCACTGATATTCTTTCTTACTACCCAACTTTGAGTTAATCATGTACCTGCTTTTAAACTGAGTATAGGATTTTGAACTTTAGTTATCATTCTGTACTATAATATAGGGGTGATTTTATAACTACTGAGTTTTGTGGAACTATTTGAAGTCTAAATACAATTATATACTAGAGTTGTTAGTTCTACATCTCTCAAGTTCTCTTTCGCACCTAATTTTATTGATAGGTAGAATTATCCACACTGTACTAAAAAAAAATAAGAAAAAACGAAAACAAGATCGATCCAGTTTGTTTCATTAGTAACATTTTATATACAAACACTAGTGAGTGTATTTGACAGCAGCTATTATCCTTTAGAACTACTCTATTGTGGGACTCAAAGGTCTTATTTTGTGATTGAAGTCAAACATTGGATTGATGAGTAATTTATGTTTTTGCTAAATTTCAGATGTCTAGGATGAAGAGGGCTTACTACTTCAGGCTTTCTGTCCCCTCTACCTTTGCCTCAAGGTTGCAGATACAGTGGTGTAAAGTGTGCAATTTTGAATTGGACACTTATTAACTTTGGGGTAGGCTATTTAACTTTTTCTGTGCTTCAGGGTTTTTTCCCTTAACTAAGATAACACTGGTTCTTTGCTTCGTAGGTGCTCATTTTTGAGGATTAAATGAGTTAATACATCTAAAGAATTTAGAATAGTGCCTGACACATAGAAAACACACATGTTACTTATTATAAGAATTTTTGCTGTATTAGTATTTCAGTTTTCTCTCCATTAATTGACTTCTTTCCTGTTGTTTCAGTCTAAAGTATAAATTCTGTATTTGGACCTCACCCTTTCATTGCCTCTTATCATAGTTAGGTTCCTCTCCTATGGTCCAATAGAATTAACCATTGGTTAATTTCTGATACAAGGTAACATTTGGTTTTGCATTAGCTTTTTTGAAACCAAAACATAGTGATCAGTATCTTATTTACCTACTGTATTTATTAGGACTCTTAGTTCAAGAAACAGACTCTTGAATATGAATGAGTGAATTTTTGTAAAGAGATAGGTGTGTTTCATTTAGAAGTTAGACGATGCAGTCAGGCCTGGTAAATAGCATAGAACAAGAAAATGGAAGATGGCAGGGACCCTTCCCTTTAGTTCATCTCTGCCCCCTGCTTCATTCTCCACCCCCAGAATGGCTTCGTATGCTGCTAAGTATGTGTGGAAGACTTACTACTGCACAATTCCTCAATAGTTTGTTTTACTCTTTTCCAGGGACTAGTCTAGACAGAGACTATAATTTTGGTCAGTTTAAAATTCCTCAGGAGGGGGACTTGCAGGTGACATGGTGGTTAAGGCACTGGACTCCCACATGGCCAATCGTGGTTTGAGTTCCGGACCTGGCGGCTTGCTTTCTCACTTTCTCTCTTTCTCTCTCTCTCTCTGGTCAAATTAAAATAAATAAAGTTAAATAAAATAATTACAAATATAAATAAATAAATACCTCAGGAGGAGAACATCTAATTGGCCCATTAGGCTCAGGAGTCCTCTCTTGTGGCCACAAGCTAGGGCAAAATAGCAGTAACCAAGTGTGCAGACAGAGCATAGGAGTCTTCACCCAGTTCAGTCTCTGACCTCTTTCAGAATATCCCCAGAGAAGTCATATTGGAATTTTGTTATCATAGTGACATGCTTTGTGTTTCAGCTTCCTTAGTCTCTTCTTACCCATGGGTAGTACATTTGAAGAATGCCAGTGAATTCCTGAAACTGCAGATAGTATTGAACCCTACGTTTTTTGCTGTACATACATACTTAGACGATAAAATTTTGTAAATTAGGCATAGTAAGAGATTAACAACAAATAGCTAATATAATAGTACAGTTGTTACAATATTACTAGTAAAAAATATGTGAATGTGGCCTCTTTATCTCTCAAAATATCTTACTGTATTATACTCACCTATTTTGAGACAGGGGGGTCAGGAGCTAAAACACGGAAAGTGGAATCATGGGTAGGGAATGGAACTAGTATACTTTTAGTTCTGGTGATTTATACAGGCGCACTCCAGGTGTAGAGTGTAAGGGACATATTACAAATTTCAGTTCTGGCGTAGATGTCTTTCTTAGACAAAAATAAGCAAAAAATTTGCTACTTAATAGCTAATAATCAGAAAGCTGGCCCCTTTTGCTAGAAGTAAATAATACAGTGCTTGAAACGTTTGCTTGGATCCTGGTTATTGTGTGATATTACAGATCTTGTGTCTTGTGAAAGGAGAAGAGCCGAAAGTCACAGCTTTGCACTTAGTGGCTTGGAGGGTTGAGAAGACAGAAGAATGTGAACAGATTTACTATTTTTTTTTCCCTAGATCATTGAGATACTACTTTTTGACAACATGGCCAGTTGACAAGTAGTGTTCCCAATCTTTATGATGTGTGTGGGATTTTAGCAAACATGTTTAAGGGAAATTACTTGTTTCATAATTGAACATCTGTTTACATATATTAGTGACGGGTTGGATTGCACATATATTGGGTCATCAGAAAAGTTATGACATACTTTTCAATGTTTTTCTATGCAGAAATGTGTCATGATTTTTCTGAGGGCTCAATAAATAAATTCTTAGTATTTGTTAATTTTTCGGCAAAGGGCTTTGTATGTAGTAAGCTTTGATCTTTAGCTGTTGGCTGCTTGTTTTCCTAGAGAGAATCTTTACAACTATTTTCAGTTGGTCCTGAATAACAGCTAATAGACTATAGATGCATCAGCACATGAAAAAATGTATTCTGATTACAACAGTATAATGGTTTTCAACATTTAAATGGTTTTCAAGGTGAGTCAGTGGTAAAATAATGTCTAAAGGATGCTTTTATATTCTCAGTATGCTGTGAAATTCAGAGGGAGATGTTAGCTCACATTCAGTAAATAAGTTATATTTCTTAACCAGAAGTCTCTTGAAGTCTGATGGAACCTTTTGTGTGTTTGTGTATATTTTATTTTATATGTTCTTATTTATAACACATTTTATTGTATGTTTTTGCAGGGTATAATACGGGTTTTCAAAGCAAGCAAATCAAGGATAATACCATATTCATTGTCTCAGAAAAAAACATTATGATATGTACTGTTAAAAATTTTTTTTTCTTTTTAGAT